GAAGTTATGCCAGCGCTACTCCAGCATTTCGATCGATACACGTGTATTTCGTTGGGGCGGGGCTAGCTGAGGGCTAACGAAATACACGTGTATCGATCGAAATGCTGGCGTAGCGCTGGCATAACTTCGGCACTCTGGCGGGAGCCTGATCAGTAAGTGCATAGATGATCAATTAGTTATTGTTCTTATTGTCAACCTTTTTGAATAAATTTTAATAGTGAATCACGGGAAAACTAAGAAAGAAAAAAGAGGTCAAAAATGGAACATTTGTCTTCTCAGATTTTTCGGTGTGGTCAAATTTTTGTATTTTCCAAGAATCGAAAATAACTACAGAAGTTTGGAGAACAGACTTAGAGCTTCCGAACGCATATTAACATTTTCCCAAACGCTTTGCGAAATATTGAGAAAAACAAACCAAAACATGCGAACGAACTTATTACACAACCTAATATTTTGATTTGGCGGAATAGCTTATGCTCTTAACGCTATTCACTTTGGGCCACATACGTGTACATGCCAGATTTAGGACTACTAAGCTGTCTGCATCAAATTTTTATAATCTTAGTGAAAACTGAAGTTGTGTAAGGAGAAGAACATGCATTATGGTAGCAAAAATCATGAACTTCACGACTATACAATTAAAAAAAAACGATAAAATCGTAATCAATCAAAACTCTTGAGTTTCGATCAGGGTAAAGCGGGGGGTGCGGCACGCCACACCGGGGGGTCGTAAGGGGGGGGGGGGGGGTAAGTGAGGGGGGGAGTCGTATTGACCTAGGCTCAAAAGCGGAAAGCTGAATGATCAGCTGATTTGTGGTGTTTGGTAACAAGCCAGTCTTGATCGCTCTGAATAAGGTCTGTGGTTGATTCAGTGCTGAAATCGACTGAAATCGAATGTATGCCTGGAACCTTAGTATAGTGTATGTTCCTGTGCGCTTCTTTCCTTAACATGATGATGCGCGAGTTTCGTAAAACCTGAGTAATGTTGAATGTACAGTTCCAGTATTGGGAGATAAACATTACTAGAGGGCTAAAGTGCAAGTAGACTTTCAAGTGGACAAGTTTGACCGGTGGGGGGGGGGTAGGGAATGGGGAGGGGGTCGTGCCGAGGTCCGGTCCAAGGGGGGGGGGTCGTATCCGGCGGTCGCGTGCCGCACCCCCCGCTTTACCCTGGACATAACCGCGGAGCACGCGCCGCGAGGTAAAACGCTTGCTCCGATACAAACTCGCTATTTTTAAAATCGTGCTCTCGCAACATTTTAACCGCGCCGCGCGTGGTCCGTAGCGTTTGAGCAGTCCGTAGGCCAACGAATCGACGATACATAAAGGCAGGGCCCGGAAAATATCCGGAGAAGTTCTTAGGCTTTCCAGAGGCTTTTTCGCTCCGACTGCACTGATAGATCAATTGAAAGGCCTGCCATTGCATGAAAAATTCCACTCCTCACCACTTTGCCGGGACGCTGCTTAAGGTAGATACTATTTATCTACTGACAAAAATCGGAATCAGCCGTTCTGTAGTAGCAGTTGGAAACAGGTTGGAAAAAACTTTTGAAGCTCACATTCAGTAAGAGGAAGAGAATTTGCCATTTCTGGAATCCGAGTCGATATGGTATTCCCTCTTTATTACTTGAACATACAAAAATACGTCGTCCTACCTCAGCCTCACAGCCAACATGTTGGTCCTAACATGTTGCTACATGTTTTCCAACATGTTAGCCACGCATGGCGGGTGGCAGACAGGGCGAAGGGCGTCATTGTTTCCACTATCACATTGCCAGCCGCTCTTGGTTCTCATCTGTGTAAGCTTGTCCGTATGCACCTAAGCTTCTCCGTAGTAGGTCTTATATTACTCATATCGCGCATGATTTCAATCGCCGCGCGATTTGACAGTGTTTGATATTTTAAACTCGTGGCTTATATAGAGGTGTAGAAATATTAGGTGGATGTAAAAGCAAACGCGAAGAAACGGAGTATACAAAATTTTAGCTAAGTTCTAGCCTTTCATTATAAGCTAATCGCAAACGAAGCACTTGCAGTGTGAAGAGTGCGCGGGCGTACGAGCTCCACCGATCAAATAAAAGATGCTCCAGCGAACCGACTGCCTTTATTAAGAATCGGCCTATGTATTTGCAGAATCATAACATACAAAACCCGTTGGCGTAATGCGCAAATTGCCAAATCAAGGGAAGTGGTGGGGCGAGGGGCAGAATTTACGCGAAATATGCGCAAGGCTGTAGGAGCACCAGAAGCCGCTATCAAATGTAAAAATGTAGGCTGGGTTCATACTAATCCGTAGGTTCCGGAACAGTTCCAACACAGCGCACAATTAGAGCGTTGTGCTGGAAGTGCTCCAAAACTTGCGGATCAGCCATACTTCGCCCGTGTTGCCGATGTTTCCAGTGTTGCCAGTGTTGAAAGTGTTGTCGGTGTTGAAAGTGTTGAAAGTGTTGAAAGTGTTACCGGTGTTGAAAGTGTTGAAAGTGTTGCCGGTGTTGGAAGTGTTGAATGGAGATCATCTGTCTAGCAGTTTCATTCTTTCTCGAACGATCTCACCGGCTGGTGTATACGTTGGAAATGAAATTGGGGAATGAGAAATGAAACTAAAATGAGATGGGGAATGTTTTCGCATGCAAAAGATCCTCAAACAAATTTTTGGGAAAGTGGACGGCTTGTCTGGAATAGGCAATCTCCAATATTTGAGAAAGCTGACGTCTGAGTAGTAATGTGTTTTAGTTCGAATCCTGCATCGCTTGCGATTAAGAGTGAGTGAAGGACCTAAGTGAGGTCTGCAGCGTTTTCAAATATTAGAGATTGCCTATTCCAGACTAGCCGTCCACTTTCCAAAAAGTTTGTTAAAGGATCTTTTGCATGCGAAAATCTCCCATTATTTCAATTTCATTTTCTCATTCCCCAATTTCATTTCCAACGTATTCACCAGCCGGTGAGATCGTTCGAGAATGAATGAAACTGCTAGATTGATGATCTCCGTTTAACACTTTCAACACTGGCAACACTTTCAACATTTTCAACACTGGCAACACTTTCAACACCGGTGACACTTTCAACACTTTCAACACCGGCAACACTTTCAACACTGGCAACACTGGAAACATCGGCAACATGGGCAAAGTATGGCCAAAGCCTCAGTATGAAACCAGCCATGGTTGGCTTTCTATCTCACTAAGACTGAAGCGATTTTGTGAAGTCAGTACCAGAGAAGGTGACAAATGTAGCGTCTTCCTGGCATTTGCATCATAGATGCTCTAGTCCTCTCTGAAAGTAAAGGGTGAGTTTTTGAAGTTGGGATCCTACTCTCTGTGATTGGTGCCAAAAAATGTTTCAATTTATTTTCCGTGTAATAACATTACACTTGGCCTTAATCGCATATACGCACCGAATCTGGTACGATATCGCTATCTGTGCTTACTAGCCATTTTGAGCTCTCTACAGTAAGAATAGAAGATCATTAGGAAAAGCGTGCCATATTTTCAGTCACTTGGAATAAGGTCGTGTTTGAGCTCCTCAATCGCGTAATAATTTGAATAAACTTGTTTAGCAATAAGTATGTTCATTCCAACTTGGCACTTACGACAATCTCTGCTTTTTCATTCGGGAACGGCTCCAACTCAACTTTTACTACCCTCGTGCCGGATGTGCATAAATATTTTGTCCAAATTTATGCTGTTCTCTGTTTGTATATTTTTCTGTTGCACCACATACACTCCGTGCTCCACATGCTCATTTCTACCGAGCAACTACGCATTCGCATTGCGCAGCGGCCTCCTTTTGATTCGACGCTCAGGCGGTGCGCGAACGCGCAACGAGGCATAGGGTTCCTTCATACTACGCCGCGTACGCCGCGTACGCCACGTACGCCGCGTACGCCACGTACGCCGCGCACGCCGCGTACGCCGCTGCAGCGCAATGGAAATATGCTCACGGCAGCAGAACTCCACTTTTTTTTGATGTATCTCTATATTTGCTGTACACTAGTACTCTGCGTTGATACCACTGCCTT